GTTACTCTTTTGCGTTGCGTCGAGTCATTTTTCCCGAAGATGTGGCCTCCAGGCACACGGATGGCCGACAGCACAGCAAAGTGTGATGCAATCGAGCGCTGAAGCTATCGATTGAAATTGACGCTATAATTAGAAGGCAAACAAGAGCAGTCGTGGATTCTGAACCACATTGTCGGCGGAGCTCATGTCCTGTGTGCCTATTGTAGCTTACGTCTCGCTGGGGCGCATCTCAAGACAGATGCTCATTGCAATGGACGCCATGGCTGACATGTTGGCTCATATCGCTGTGCAGTGTATGGCAGCCTCTTGTGCATTGACTGATTTCAAATTACATCATTCGCCTGTGACTGCATTGAGAGGTGAACAACATATCAATAGATATGAAGAAACTTGACGCATTTGAAAACTTGTCCTTTGGCATTCTGACTGATTTGCACCAACATGCCGTGACCTTTGCGATTGAACAAGCTGAGAGCAAATCTGCCTTGAATCTTCACCCACTGTTATGCTCGCAGGATCTTGTTGGCCAGAGTCAGACCAACGAGGAAGGGATTGCGCTGTTGGAGATTCCCAAGTGCATGGATAACTGCAATTTTGTGGTCATGGTGGGGAACGGGGACAAGCTGACCTTCTTTGAGGCTTATATCTTTGATTATTCCTTCAGCTTAAGCAACCAGCCACGGGGGGCTTTGGTGCTGGATCGAAAGCTGGTGAGACCTGGCGAGGATCTGAGCATTGGCGGTAAGTGGGTCTGTTGGTGCGATTGGGGTTTGGTAGCCTTCCAAAGACATGTGTACGAGAAATTTCAAAACGTTTATGCATGCCAGCATGACAAGTATTTTTGCGGCTTTTTTTTGCGGCTTGCGAATGTGCATAATAATGCACCAAGCACACAGAATGCGTCAGGGATCTACGGCAGATCGGTATGCCCGAGGTGAATGGAATCGGGGCTGTAAAGTGTTGACTCTGGATGTACAGCCACGCATGTGTGCCCTTTTGGACATTTGTTTGACAGATTTCAATCATATACATAAACATCCCATGAGGTCTGTTGTGCTGAAACAGCCAAAAGACTTGACATTAGATGCAATTTCACCTTTGGAAGATATGCGTATTTTATTGCAATAGCAGGAAATGAAATTTTTTGGTAATGCGCGCGTTCATTTCGTCGAACTGTGGGTGGATGGGTTCTATTGGTATTCCATACTGTACCCTGTATTGGGGGGCTCCGTTCCCGACGCACATAAAAACTCCGATGTCATTACTTGAAGCTGCTGACGCAGAATCGCCTATTTCGCGACATCATATTACACTAAACCATATTTTCTCACGTGTTTATACGATACCGATATTTTCCATTCTTCAACAGACATCCTTGGACGGCCTGTCAATTCAGTATATGCCGCGTATCGCGTTCGACGTTGAATACACTGCGAACACTAGACTGCCCGCTTTAACTCAGTTTTTTATAGCAATATTTTGCAAGTCCAACTTGCAAGGAAATACTGCATAGATGCTGATAATTGCTCTCGTAAATTGCATCGTTTGAGACGCAAGCATGGTTTTCCATTGCGCACACCCCTGCGGATCAAGCAGATCGCTTCGTTCTGCACAGGGCCATTCCCGTATAGTGGATTGTCAGCTGATCAGCGGTTCGTAGTCGCGAGTGCCCTCCAGAATGTGACTTGCATCATATGCCTCCATGGTGTGAAAAGGGTTTGGCATGCAGATAATCTTTTTCCGCAAGGAAAGCTGAAGCATCGATGAGCGGTGGGCATACCTGCCCTGTTTTGAAATGTAAGCAGCATAAAATTCTGAGACATGCACTGAGCAAAAACGTTTAGGGTGTTTGGCAGCATCCGATTGCCATGTCTTTTGCAAAGCTGCAGAAACTTCATGTGCATTGCATCACATATCAACATGGATGCGAGCGAAATTCCGCAGATACGTACACGTGCGTGTCAGCGCCCTCGTCTCACGGTGGGGACCACATCGATGATTGATGGGATGACCCCGCAGTTCTCCGTGTTTGTTGGGCGTTCAGGATTTCTTACCCAGAGAAATGGGGAAGTTGTCAAAACTTGGAGCGCCAAGTCGGCAAGACTCAGATACGGAAACCCAGATCCCGATGCTGAAGACGATGAAGTGGAGGTCAAGTTGAACATCGATCCCGTCTACGGAGCATTCAATGCGACAATAAGCGTGCCCGAAAATGCTGAGTTTGGCTCCTACAATATTCAGCTGTATGACAAGGCCAGACGCAACAGCGGCGTTTTATATTCCACCTCTTTCACCGTCGGCGATCCCCGCCCGCCCACAGCAGAGCTGAAGTTGTTCACACCAACATGGGTGAGTGCAAGCTGGGGTGTACAATGCAGTGTCTTTGCGAATGGAGGACTGCGCAGTCCATTCAATGGTGGATAGAGTCCTCCCTGCTGCTGTAGAGTATTCCCCACCATTGTCTGTGGCATGGAAAGGAGTCCTACAGGTGCAATTTCTCTGGTGCAGTACTTTCTTTGCATGGCATATTTGCTTTCTGATGAAGACGCCAATTCGCAGCATTCGTTGAGCCTTGGAACTAGGTGGGTGGTACAAGCACGAGGAAGTTGCATCCATGTTCTTGCGGCTATGTCAATTGAAACCCTCTTTGGAAGAAGTGCGGTCATACACAAATCTAGCTTTTTCCCGTAGTGTTCTTCCTGATTAGATGAAGGTCCATATATATGTATTTCCCACTTGGTGCTGCCCGTGTCGGATTGACCATTTCAGGTAGCCGCCATATCAGAAGACTCGTTTAATTTTACTGTCGCCGCTTTCCGTCCACACGGCAGCATTTTCATTATATTTCCACAATTCACTCATCCCCTTTCACCTTGGTTTACTGACAGACCCGTCCAAATTCAAGTTTCGAAGTCCAAGTTCAGGCCATCAGCTTTCTTGGGGCAAGCGTTGAAGGTGCAGAGATAACTGTGGCCTGGGACATTGGCCCAGAGACTTTCGATGGTGCGTGCATTGCTCACCGTATGCATGCTTGTTATGGTGTTCTTACAACTCGCTCCACCGCATAGTGAAATAGCACTTCAGATATCCGCCAACAGGCAAATGTACGCTGTCGTTGCAATAGATGGAATTGCCGACACAGAGTGGCACCGGCTGGAGTCGTAGTTCAAGTTGTCTCACAGATTACTAGATAATCAATTTGCATGGCCATTTTCTGAGCTAGCCTGAGGCAGCAGAAATATAAAATGAGGCAGTCCGCATGCTGGAACGATATTGGCCATTTGAAATGCAGCTTTCTGGACTCACTGTGAGTGCTTACAGCCTTGAAGCATCCAATCCCAGTGGACGACAAATGTGCATGTCCGCGACAGCGGCAGTGGCGTCAGTCCAGAAATTCTGCTTTAAAGCAGCTCAGAAAAGATATATTAGAATAACCGTAGTATATTCCATTCTTCCGCATCAAAAAATTTTACCGTTGCGCTTTGTGCTCCGCAAATTTTTGTCAGATCGTTATTGCTATTTCCTTTGCGTTGCTTCATCAAAATTTGATAAAAGAGCGTTACATATTTTGTTGTTTTATAAACAAAAAAATCCAAGCATTATGTCACTATGCGAAGGGATGAATATACTGCGGTACCAACAAGTTTCAACGATGCATTGTTGTCACAACGTGAGCTCTGCGATAAGCGCCCAATTTGTGTAGATATTGAATGTTGAACATCCTCCGTCCAAGAATAATTGTCGCCTACGATTTGGGGGCATTAATTATCCATCTTACCCACACCATTTTTCTATGAAATTTCACCCAAACGTGTCAGTCTAGAGTACACTATCAAAATTATAGGTCAATCGAATAAATATTGAGGACTTGGCAATACTTGTAGCAAGGGTCCTCTGGCCAGAAAACGGTCGGTTTGACGCCGGGGTGAAAACGGCCGTTTTCAATGTTTGAGCAGCACGCCTTTGCGGCAGCAAAACGAAGCCGCCCGTACAAGGCTATCCACGCCGTTCAGATTGGATGCAAAGAAGTACAACAATACAAAACGCGTTTGAGCGCCCTGATTTTCAGACTCACCTTGGCTTGCGGTTACAATTCAAGCTCGATCCGGAGGATTGGGTGATGTTCCGGGCCCAAATTCTGGGCCGCGGCTTTGTGGCCTCCATCGCCACTGTCCGGGCGACAGTGGGAGCCTCCCAATCCTCTTGACAAGGTGGGAGACATGGTGATGGCCATCACCTCAATCGATTGTGGACAAGCAGCGAATTGGCCATTGTGATGTTAATTGTGAATTGATGTTGTTTTGGCATTTGAAAGGATAAAGGGATAGGAGGATGGCCACAAGGGCAAAGTCGTGTCTCTTGAAGCAATCTAGACTCACTAGGCTGCGATGGATTGTGCACTGTGGGCAAGAATTTGTTGCTAGGGGCTGTTTCTGGGTTGAGCTGCACACAAAAGCTTGGATTCAAGCATCAATCAAGGCAGGTTGTCCATGAAAGGGTAAAAGAGTAACCATGGAGAGATAGCCCGCGCTGAACCCAACCTTCAAAGTCCTGGATGTTGGTCTTTCTGCGCTCTAGTGAAGGTCGGCGCATCGGAGATTGAGAACATCACGGATTTCCAGCATCGTCGTTGCCATGGCAGTGGCAACCTTCAAGGAGGAACCAGGCTGGGTCGAGTTTGGCAAGAGCTAGGCCACGTGCTGGATGCCGCCTTTTGCCGCGGCAGTGGCAACGACTTTCATTGTTTGGTGGCGCAATTGCAACATTTGCGCACCCGTCATACCAATCATCTGGAATGTGTCGCCACATCTTACAGCAGCTTTGATAAATCAGGATATATCACAACACATGGTCCAACGAAACCATAATCAACAGAAAAAATCGATGTGGGATCCTTTTAGGAGTTGCGCGTAAGCGAAGGACTGATTCCCGACCCCTAATGTCCTGCAGAAATCATCATCACGGATTCCGACGGAAACGGGAGCCTTACAATCAATCTCATGGACTTCGAGAAGAGCATACAAGAATACGACATTGGCAGCGTGTTTGTCAAGGCTGTTTGGATTGGTCCAACAAGGGAGAGAATATCTGGGAGTCGTTTTGTGAGGTGGGAACTGCTTGATATATGCTCAAAATACCCACTGGTGCCCTTAAGTACAATCACAACATTGTTTGGCTCTTGTATTCAACGTTGATGGTGATGGTATGCTGAGCGAAAGCTGTGCGTATGGTTGCAATTGTCGCGTCAAATTCGAGCTTGAGACTCTGCATGGCATTAAAAAATCTTATTTCATCCGTTCAGGTTGCAGAAGTCGGAATTGAGTGTCAGCCTGTTGATGTCCATGGACATTCAAGACATCCCCGGTGTGGAATTTGGAGTTGCGGCGTTCGTGGATAGCGCGCTTTCGGGAGCAATATCAGGAGAGCTTGTTCAGATATCGCTCTTGCAGGTCAACGACAGTAAATCGGGGGTTGGTGATGTGCAACTCGCGCTGATGGAGCAATGCACCGCAGCATCAGGTGCGACCCCCACCCTCATGTGCCGAAAACTGCACGCCCATGTGCCTTTCTGGATGATCCGCGTGGCGGGGCATGTCCTGAATTGCATTCATGGTCCTGGAGGAAAACTTCCATGTGTGATGTTTTGCAACATGCTGCGTTGCTGGAGGACACTGCAGTTATTTCATAAATTCTCATTAACTGGATCAGAGCCTCTACTAAAGAGCCTTTCGTGCGGTTATGTGTCTTGACAATGCCTCGAATTGCAAAACACTGCAAAATATTTGAGATTTCTGGACATGCTTGCGGGAAACAGCAAGTATTTCAGTAACACAAAAGCTGGGGCCGAAATGTTCTGCACAGGTGACATAACTGCAATGAGCCTCTGCCGAATGGCTTTGCCAAGCATTGGTCACTTTGCCCTGCGTGGCTGCATCGACGACAGTGATGGAAAAGTGTGTGCCACCATCGAATTGGGAAAGAACTTCTCGGAATGGATCGAACGGTAAGGGGAATACACCAAACATCGATGACAGAACAGAGAACCCGAGAGTGAAAATTTCGAATGCCCCAGGGACGATGGAGCAATGCTGATCGCACATGCATTGGGCTTTTCTCAACGCCCAAGAACGTAGTAAGCCGTTGACTAACTGCGCGGTGAATGTCGAAAACTGCGTTGATATCAGTCAATTTAATCTTTTGTGTATTTGCTGAACATGCCAGAGGAAATTGAGAAGAATTTGATCCGAAAGAGCATGAAAAGACCCCGAGATCCAATCCAAACCAGTGAATCCCAGCTGCACGCCGCTCACCAACTCCGTGCGTGTTGGGTTTTGATGCCATGTTGAGTTTGGCGTTGTACGGGTCATCAGTGCATGTACCAACCGGTGCAGCAATCGATCACGCCAATCTACTCAAACTTGGTCTTAAGTCTGCAGGTCATTTAGAGAGATCTCTTCAACGTGCAAGATCAACTGAATATAGGATTGCATGTGATATACTGCAGAATGGCTCGAGTTAATAGTTGTATCATGTACCTTCTTCTGAAATTCCAGCGGTTTGTAGACTATAGCTTGCAGAGATGCAATATTTGGGGGCATCTCTGACGCGCATTGGTGGTGCACGTTTAATGTGTGTGGTCTTGATGAGGAAACTCGTGATTGAATTCATTTTGAAGGTCGAATTTCGTTTTTAGAGATTTCGGTAATGCAAAATATGTCAGAAAGGTACCCAGGGTGGTTTGCAAGAATTCGGTATGAGCGAATCAGTGCATAAAAAACCAGCTACGAGCAATCGCTTTCCTTTTGAATGGCGCTGATACAATTGATACCAAATTAATTGGCCCATCAGTCAATTCCATGCGTGCAAAGGAATTCTTGTGGACAGGCTTGGTCTTTACGGCGTTAACACGTTTCTATTTATGGCTATTTACGCGAAAAACTGGTTCTTACGGTTTTAGGCATAAATAGGCATTGAAATGCGTAAGAATGGGCCATATGTATTTAACGAAGGTACATACCGCCTCAAGGAGTCCGGGGAATGGTAATTGGACGAGCTGAAATGTGCAGATAACGACTTTCTGCTCGACGACGTCATTGCCTTCCAGAGGGCGAGGTGAACGCTGTGCTGCCGGTGCTCGAGGTGCTGGAGAGCTCACTATTGTGTGGTACATCATCACGTAATCTGAGCGTGTCAGCGAGCTGTAAACATGCCCAAATATGGCCGTAAAAATGGCCGTTTCTCTATGTACCTGTTTTTGCGCGTAAGAGCGTAAACATAAAACTGGAGCCGCAGACGTACAGCCTGCTTGTGCACGTGTGATTATAGGCGCTCTGGGAATTTAGTAATGCATCTGCTTTCTCACGGCATAGCCTGCGCTTTGCATGAACTGTGGTCTCTCTTCTCCTCAGGCCCTTGGCGTCGCATCCGAACCTTCGAATTGTCGCTCAGGGACAGGACCAGGATATCTTCACTGCTGTGGGGCAATTCGGAAAGGAATTTGAAGTTTTCGTGGACGTGCCCTTCCACAATACCACGTTCTTGGTTCTGTTTGGGAACACTCTGAAGAGAGAGAAAATGGTAATGGAAGTTTGTGTCAATTTCTTTTGATGTTGGCGTGGCAAGGGATGTTGCGTTGCATCCTTGCTCCTGCGACGCGCACTCATCTTGGCTAGCAAAACGTCCAAATAATTCCGCGGGGCTCCTGCCAAGACATGGTAAATGCGCATTTGCCATAATAGCATGGTATGACCGTCAATTACTGGAAGATTGCGTCAAGCAAACACAATAGACATAACGTAACAGGAGATTTTTTGGAACAATGTTGGTGATGCTGTTTCGATAATGGAAAGGTTCAATTAAGTACAGAAAAATGCCCACTTCTTCTGGTTTTCCCTGCAAATTATTTATTTAATTTATTGGTTTCTTGAATGGATACGCTGCTGCTTGGTGCGCTTCAAACTGCAGACGCCACGCTTCGTTCAAATAAAACGTGTTGTTGTTGACAGCAGAGCATTGCTTGCGAGTGGGCTGCACCGAACGCATGAAGAAATTTTCCGTGGTGGGTGCGTTGCAGGTGATGCGCTTCCCGGATCCTGGGGTACACAAAATGGCAGTTCCACTGGGACGAGAGTGCCTGGGAGGGTGCAGTGTCAAAGTGCTCATGGCCATCCCGAGACAAACATCGCTGGGCCTGGATGTTCCAACCTCTGTGGGCTTCGATCCTCTTGGGACCCATTGGGTTGACAGACGTTTCAACATTCGCATCCCCGAAGTGGTGGGTTCATTTGAATGCTGGACATGTGCTGCTGCCGGATACACCTACACTGACCGTGCCGTGCGGAAAGGGTGGAACTGTCCTCGGCAGCGGCATCCCGAATTGCGCAGAGAAAACGTGTTTTTCCTGGTTCCAGGCCTGTGGCACTGAACAATGGTGTGTTTACGCAGTCACGAGAACTGACGGTAAATGTAACAATTGCTCCTCCGAATCCATCAGAATCCCCTCGTGAGGAAGATGAGCTTGTCGCAATCTCGCCCGGAGAGAATGCCACTGTGCAAGTACTTGTTGCGAAATGCCAGGGAGATCCAAATGCAGGGACCAGCTTTTCCTGCAACGAGAGAGAGCCCGCAGCAAACGCAAAGGCAAGTAACTAATCATGGACGTTGAGACTTGCTGACCCACATTGATCAGGAATCACTGGTGTTTGATCAGCTTCCCGTGTACCGCTAATGCCAAGTGCGCGGACTCAGGGTTCACCAACCTCTGAAGTACAAGCAACGTTCCTCATCTCCCCTTTTCTGTCTGTTGGGTATGCACCCCATTTCCACATGCGCAGCACTTAGGATGAAAAGCAGCGCATTTGAAAGCGGTGTTCAGAAGGACCATTACAGAATATTGCGCATGAATGACAATCTGCCACTTTATGGAACAGGTTTTGGTGATTGCGGTGGACAAGGCGCTTCTGCAACTGATGCCCAACGCTCTTGTGAACCTATCTTCTACGCTGTCAACCGATCTCTTTTCGTCCGTAGAAACCTCGCGCTTGTGGCCATCTGGTGTGCTTCCGAAGGACGCCTACGCGAGAGCCGTCGATATTGTGCTTAGGCGCCTGGAAATCGATCCATGGTTGAACGAGGTGTTTGATGTGGATTCTTTGGTAGGAATCAGGCGAAGAATATCCAAATTTCTGCTATTCGAATGTTTGGGGCAAAATCCTTTGATGATGATTCCAACAGTTCACCTATTGAAGCCCATGGTATCATTGAGCTTGGACAGCGAAGCGTGGTGTGTTCAGCCAAGATGATTCCATTCTTGTATTAGATTTGTTGACAGTATAAGCTTGCACCCATGTTCAAAATTTTCGCTGTAGTTCAGGTATGCCAACATTGGATCACATTAACTCTGCAGCGCAAATTCTACCGAAGACCAGCAAGGATGGCAGGACATAAGCGATGGCTGTTCTGGGGACAGTCACTTCTGATGTGTTCATGCTGATTCCAGGAACACAGAATCGCAGGGGCTAGTACAATTCTGCGGTGTTCACTGAATAATTAAATATTGGAGATCAGTCAATGCATGAACCAATTGGCGAGTTCTCTTTGTAGTTGTAACTGAAGTAAATTGAGTGTTGGTTCCAGGGCGGCACATTTGACATGCCAGATCAGCACCTCTTGGAAATAAATGCCGATTCCCTTACCGTCCCGCCTCCTGGATTGCCATACGGACTGGCTCTGTTGGGCCGAGTCATGAACCAGCCGCAGCCAGCCAGTGGTCCATCTGCTGGCCCATCTCTTCGAGTTCGGGCAGCATCCGAGTCGGATCCGGCAGTGCGACTGGAGAATCAATTCCAGACGACTCCTTTGTTCGAGCTCATTTCTACGGAAGCGGATGGCATGGGACGTGTCAACTTTACGGCACCCCCAAATCTTGGCACTTTCGTGGTGCGCGCCTACGCTGTGACAGGTACATCATGGATTATGCGGGTCTTGTAGCCCCGTAACACACGCTCTTTGATATGATTTTGCCAGCTGTTGTTGAACATATCCCTGCATGCGCATGGCCTTCGGAAGGACAAGTACCTGATTTATGTAGCTTGTCGCTGGAAATACAGGAAGGTCTTGCGCTCTAAGACTCAAGCCTGCAATTTCAAATTCCGTGCGATACAAATGGTTGGGTAGCAGGCTTTCCGGATAGGCTTGCCACTACTCCCAATTGTTGTTGACTTAGTACGGACGCAAAATTCACGAAAAAAGCGTCGATACAATGGAATTTCAATACCGCGGAAATAACTTGTGACGTCTGATTACAGCTTCCAAACTAATTTTGTGGGTAGAGCAGTTATCTCCATTGATTTTGCAGAGGTTTCTTGCTTTGAAGATTTCATGGAAGGAACATCGTGTACATGTTCTCGGCCTGTGCTCATACTCTCGAATTCTCTATGCTTTTCTTCCTTCCAAGCCTGTCGTTTGCCCCGAAGCTGCAACGTGAACTCTTAACGCAAGCCGGACTTGGTTGTGCTTGAGCACAATTGGCACGCTCTGTTTGAGGCAAGTACCCTTTGTTCGCCGACATTCAAATCTATGTCAAAATTTGAGCAGTTTTTGACAGACTTGAATGTGGGCGAATAAAGGCAACTTGTCTGGAGAATAGCATGCCCATACATTGTGTATTCCTTTAGGTTTATTTTCCAGACAGAACAAGAGCCCCATCGTGCGAAAATGCAATATGATTGCCAGCTTGTGCGGAGGCATGTGTACAGTTGATAATCGTAACATTGAAGATAATGCGGTGCCAAAGACACCAATATACCCTAAGCTGGAGAATTCGTTACCCTCGGATTTCAGCGAGCTGGCGGCCGATGCATTGCTCGAATGCCTCATGTATTCAATCTAAATACGGCGCCCCTCTCTGTTCGATGTAGACAAAGCCCAGCATGGTGGGGGCGAGGCGGAAGTCATCGTGCGGCTGCCGCTGTCTCTAACGCCGTCCGTTCCACGCATCGTACGAGTCGGGGATGAATTCGAAGCCGGCATGATTGTGTCGCTCTTCGGCACAAGGGGAAAGCCCTCCCCTGTGGTGGCGACACTGTTCGCCGACCCTGGAGCTTCAAAGGCTCTTGAATTTTTGTCAGATAATGGCACCGTCCTACCCGCAGATTCCGCATCGGGCGCTGAAGGAGTGGGTTCCTGCGATCCAGGTGCTCATTGGCGACGAAATGAATTTTGTGGCATGCCAGGCTCCTCTTTGCAATGTTCAATGATTACAGTTTTCGTCCCTCCTTTGCACAAAGAGCGGTGGAATCAGGTGGTGCTGCGCGTATGGCCGTCAACCAGGCACTGTGCATTAGGCGTCTCGCCGCATTGAGAAAGTAGAAAGGAATGCGCACTCTTGCTGTCTGTATGATCCATGTCACTTTTGGATTTACGTAACATTTCTCGACCTTGCTGCTTTTGATCCAGCGCACAAAGTAGGTCCATTGAATTTCCGTATTGCATCTTTTTATTGGCACTGCTCTCTGCCGACCCAAATAGAAATGTATGTTGATTTCCTGCATCTCTGGCTCTTAGGGTCCCTGAGCTGCTTGGCGCCCGTCACAGCAAAAACGTTGCTCACCGACGAAGACGGGCAAGTGGAGGTGCGGTTTCTGTTTTCCGCCGTGCAGCTCGGAGAAACGAACCTGACGATTCGGGCAGGTGACCACACTGCACAGATCCATAGCCTCCATTTTCGCCTGTTTCCAGGGCATGCGAGAATGCATCTTACTGATACGCTTCCTATTGCGGATCTTCAAGGTTCTAGAACATTGCCTACGGTGCAGATACATGTCTCTTGGTAGCCCTGCTTGTACTCAAATGACGATTGGACGGCCAAGCCTAGCACAGCCTGCTAGCTACAAACTGCCACTGCAAGCATTGCCTCTGCATCTTCCGCAGGTCTTGACATCCTGTTGAGCACCATTGCAATGCATCGCTCACACAGGTGTTTGTATGGGGTGCCACAAAAGTATGATATGGGCGTATGTGCTCCCAGTCATTCATTATACGATCTTTCTCACTATCAACCTAAAACGGCAATGCACTTGCTGCCCGACGAACAAGCAGGTGTGCATTAAATGTGGATGCTTTTTAAGGCTGAAAAAGAACATGCGTTCCGACAGATGCACGCAATTATAATATTAGGCCGGATTTAGGCCGGTGCAGCATTGATGACCATTGGTGCAACGAGTTCAATATTCATCATCAGCCTGCATACTTTTGGAATTAATCTGTTGATGCCGCTGATGAACGTGACATGTAAATCCCGACAAGCCATTGTCGCCAGTGCTACCAAATATCACGTCCATCAAGGCTTATTAGTTGTGAGCACATGTGCATTGCTGCAGCTGTGCTTAGCTGCGTATCCACGTAGTCGCTGCAGCACTGACCATTAACGCTGTGGTGAATACATTATTTATTAACAGATTTGTGGTGGACAGTGGTCCTTAACTTTCTCTTTCTTTTGTTGTAGACAGCGGAGGAAACAGCGACGCTCTGCAGATTTCAATACCCGTTCTGGCGCAACAGGAGGAGGTGCAACTGGCCACTTCATTCACCATTCGCTCTGACAAGTGGGAAGAACGATCAGAAGAAGGCCTGAAAATACCGGATGCTGTGCCTGGAACCGGAACGCTAGGAGTCGCGGCCGGCGTAGGGAGATTGCCATCTGTTCTGGACCTGAGCACCAGAATACTGGAGACAAGGTTTGTTTGCACATGCTGCAATCTTATGTGGCAAAAACGCGTCAATCCATGCGCAAATGCGTCCAATTCAAGGTTCTCGAATCATGAATACGAAAATGCAACAAGGGCTAGTAAAATGAAGCGACCCGCAACATTGCATAGGCCAAAGGCGCTGCAGGATTACGGCGCAGGGAACAGATTACGCTGTGTGCTGCGCACTAAGTCAATTATGTCTCTTTTTGTGCTGCAGGACAATGGTCCCTTACGGATCATGGGCTCTGGCCAACGTCACCATCCCAGCTGTTTTGAGGCTGTACGGTTTGGAACAGCAGAGAACACCTAGTGGCCGAGACATATTTTCAAGAGCCATTTCTGCGTTCGAAGAAGCCACCTTGAACCTCGAGATAAGCAATCTGACATCTGAAATCTGGGGCCTTCAGTGGGTCAAACCTCGATTTTCCGAACCGAGCAGAGTGGACACAAGCCTTAATGCTGATGCCATCTGGACAGCTAACCGTGTTGTGGGACTGCTCAACGGAGAAGTTAGGGTGAGCGTCTGGATTCAGTGCTCATCGTTCCACTTGCGGGGTAGTGAACGCAGGTTGTCGCCGCTTGTTGTCACCGACTGGACTGCATGAAAGATGATACAGTATGCTATCCCCTGCAATAGGTTTTTTCTACATGCATGAATGTGGCAGGCACGCATTGGTGAATGTCTATATGACTGCCGTAGTATCGTACTCTGGCAGGAGCTCAATTCCGGAATCAAACGCCTGACAAAGTTGGCAAATGTCTGGAGCTCAGTGCTGGAGCGACAGATCGTCGAGGACGCACGGTCTCTGTCAAAACTGGGATCTAAAATAGATCTCGCTACACTTGCATGGACCAGGTAGGTGCCATCCTCGCCAGCCTGAGAGTGATCCAAATCCGAGGAAATGCGTTCACGATACGTGAGAATGCTTATGATTTAGGAGTTTTGCATCGCCCCTCTATACCAAAATTGGAATTACCAAATTTAAAGCGAACTGTGACATTGGCAATCGTGGAATCTCTGTACACCGCTCATCTCTCACTCCCGGCGCCAGGCAATGAACTCATGTGCATAATACTCGCCTGTGCGCAGACTCACCCTCGGCGCAGATTGGTCGCCTCCACGATGCCCAAGCCAGGACAGCTCGTTCTGCGCAGAGGCCACTGTCATCGAGCACCTCTCCATCGAGCGACTGAGCAGAAACATACGCAACATGTCGGTAGAAGCCAGGGCCCACCTCGCACTGACCTGGCTGGAGGCTGACAAGCCTGGTCACGCCGACGTTGCGGCAGTTGTGGATTCGTTCCTTTCAGACATGCGTGTTGCGGGACGCACGGCGTACGTTTCTGCACGGCCAGGGGAGGCACAGCCTGCAGGTAGGTGGCGGAGCGGCAAATCACCGCATGCCTCATGTCGTGTGAACGCATCCGATCATGCAGGCGGGGTATTCAATCGCAGTTGCCCCTGTGGTGCAATCCACTTTGACGGCCTCTCGCTGCGCCACTCTTCTTGGAAGAGTATTCCGCACTCTGAAGCACAGTATTTATTTCCCTCATTGCCATCCAGAAAGCGCAACAATGGGTCTGGGCACGTGAACACTTGTTACTGTACAAATGCATACACTGAGCATATTCTGATGCCTGCCTCGCACAGGTCTGCAAAGCCAGGCGCTTGCCTTGCTGGTGTTTGTGGAATCCAACAGCTCAACACAACTGGTCGAGAAGCTTGCCAATTACGTGGGACGGGGAGGACTGTCCAACGGTGGATTTTCTGACTCGGCAATGGCGATGATCGCATCTCTGCATGCTCTCTCACAGTACGACCTGTCAAGTGGCAGCATTGATCCAAACGTGGCGCTCAACGTATCCAGCGGGTCAATCGCCATTTTGCAGGTGGGATAGAGTCCCCACCTCATTTTGACTGCTCCCCCTCGTACAGAATCTGTATTTATTCTGTCTGCAATTTGCAGCAGCAATTTTAACAGTTTCCTCAAGCCAAACGTGGCTCTTGCACAGAAGCGACTGGCGAAAAAACCTGCGCACACATCCAGATACTTGCCCGAAGGTACCTGATCGCCCCATTTCTATGCTGTGCTGCGTCCCAGGCTTTGTTCGACGATCCGAGTGACCCCATCGCGGAATCCTCGACCCCTTTTTCTGCCCTTGAAAGCCCGCCTCCCCCTCTCTTGTTCGAGACTCAAGGCACGGGCGAAGTCACGATTGTGGCCTCACTGGAGTTCGTCCCCTCCCAACTTCTACCGTTTCCCACATACAGAGGGATATTTGTGGAGAGGATTGTACAGAAGGCTGGGCCAGACAATGCCCCTTCCAGCGGACCTCTGGCGCGGGTGCCCCTGGCAACCCCATTAGTCATCACGTTGCAGGTGCAGTATGCAACTGACGGCCGCCAAGCCCCTGCGCGGCATTGGGTCCGGTCTTCGATGCGCAAACTTATTTTGTGACTTGCGACCTCCCCGCCCTGTCCTTGCTGACACTTGCACAAGCTTTCAAGTATCTTTCCTATGTTTGAAGAGGAAAAATGTGGCCAAATGTGCTGGCGAGGCAATAGCCAGGGCAGATTGCGACCGTGCAGCAGGAGGCGGTGTGCAGTGTCAAGATCCTCCGATCGGCCGCGCGTTCCAGTGCTCCTGCCAGAAGACAGTGTGCGTCCTGCTTCATGACGGCTGATAAGCAAACACCACCGAAAGAGCGACAGCGAAATGCAAGAATGCGTCTCCTGAATATCTTGCTGGGGATCGGGTTTCTGTATTATTGAATATGACGTGTTCCGGTGCAGATAACCACGCCTGATTCCCTGGGGCCTGTCGTGGTGCGGTCCCTCATGCCTGGTGGACTGGAGCCCATCGATCCACTGGTTGACCCTGGTGCTGCTACAGAGTGCACTGCAGACAGATTGGGAATTTCATATCGGCACTGGTTTTATCCACTGTGCCCTTTACAGGTGAGTTCGGTTACATGTTCTCATGTTATGACAATTGGACACAAAGAGCGCAGTTTGGCACATGCAGCTGGTGAAAAAGACAGTAGGCAAGACAGCAGCCTGCTGCATTTATCGGAACTGGATCTTTGGGAGACGTTGACTTGCATGGAAACTATGGATTTTCCTTCCTGATGGGACTACAGCCACGCGTGTTTGTCCTATTTTTTGTTTCCTGGATTGATCGTTCCCTTGCTCGCCCGCTTGATGGCAATCGCTCAGTCGTTGCGGTGCAGAACTTGCTCGGTTGTGGTCCAGCGCTCCAGCAGATTCCAGACATGAATACGTCGGGGTGAATGCACGAGTGCAGCAAACCCGCAGATGAAATGACCCCAGTAGAAAATCATCTGGTCGTATTCTGCTGCCGTAAGTGTAGCTCTACACACCGAATTGCTCATAGTGCTGCAGACAAGCTTTTCAATCCATTCCCCCTCCTCCATTCTCCAGTGCTATGCTCCTAGAGTCGGGACATCGGCCCCACGCACAACACTTGAATGTTTGCTGGGACTTAGTCACTGTCAGCACGTATGTGCGACGCAATGCCTTTAGTTGCAAATGTTCAGCGAGCCCAACAAAGTAGGGAATTGTTGATTTGATGGCGCCAGAGGTCTTGAAGGCGCATACCTTCCTAGCCGTGCACATCCCCACAACTCTTCCCTCAAATGCTGTTTTACCACTAGTGGCTAGTTGAATGCTGGCATGATGTGGGTGCATTGATGTATCCGGCACCACTGACATGAAATGGCATTCTCACAATACTGCACGCGCAGGAGACACGGCCATCTCAGGTCACATTCAACTACCGCTACCTTCGCGCTGGAACACACGCCATATCGTTTCAGGCCATTGCGTCATCGGTTGGCAAATGGATGTTGCCGCCAGTGCAGGCTTATGACGAGCAGCAGCCTGAAGTCATGGGGATGTCCGCTGCTGGCGACTTGTTTGAGGTCTGCGATCCAAGTGGCGGTGACGAGTGCAGTGAGATTGGGGCAGATGGGGTTCGAGCTCCGTCAGAGCCTCCGAAGCCCTGTCCCGGCAACTGCAATGGTCTCGGCCTGTGCGACCTCTCCACAGGGAAGTGCTTATGCGACAGCGGGTTCTCTGGAGAAGACTGTGGATCATTCGCTGAGCAGCGTTAGAAGGCATCGGCGGCTCTTCACAAGCCATCAGTCGGTGTTCGTTGACGAGTTGACACTGAGTCATGAGCATCTCAAGTTGCATGTTTCGGATTTCCAAGTTCAACATTTCATGAATGATAGTAAAATGTTAGTTTTTCAAGGCGCGTGGCTTGATGATCTTGCATTGTATTTTGGTATGCTTGGGTATCACACCGGGGACTGGCAATCACTCAGTCATCTCTCTTTCGTGATATCTGGATGCACAGCGTGATGGTCGTGCAGTGCATTTTAGCATGCTTGTTAATCACACGGGAACTTGACAGCCACTATGTAGTGACTATACGCCGCACGCCATTTCTCTTTTCCTCTTTTTCTCATGACATCTGGATGTTTGGCTTATTCATCGGGGCAGGTGATGAGTCAGTTTCGACGTACAGCACTGTCTTGCATGAAGTAATGTAACCATCGAAGAGGGTGTGTTGCACAATCACCATCGCAGGCGGAGTTGATGCCATGTCCGAATGTGGCGAATGGATTGTTGCCGCTTGGGCACAGGAGATCGGGACTTCGCAAACGGAAAGGTCTCGTGCTGTGAGATCGCACGAACTGGTACTCTGAAAATTGTCCCACAATAGCTGTGCGCACCCATCGAAGGCCACGCGTCGCACACAATGCTTATTCACTCTTGGTTTACGGATACATCTGTGCATGCCAACGTTGCGATATTCCGTTTGCCGTGTCCTAGGAAAGAAGGCGCAGCAATGGGCATATGCTGAGGTCCCGGTTGCACCATCTGATGGTTAGCTGTGTGTGTTCCTTTTCAAGATCTGTGGCGTTTCTGTCAATCAGCACCCAGCGAACATCAGTGCATGGGAATGCTATGGCCATTTATGTTTTAGTTTTGAGACTTAGCTCTATGTGCGGATGGAGAATAAACACGCGTGTATCGTAGAATTGCGAGTGAAAGTGGAATCCATATTACCGTATAGTTGCAAATAATGCAGATTCCTGCTTCACTTATGAAGTGGAAGGCACTGTGTCGAATTTGGCACGCTTAGCATCAATTTGACGTCAGGGTGGGGGGTCCAGACCTATGGCGCTAAGCGATTATGTAAGGGAAGGCATTGTGCCGAATTGGGTATGCTTGGCATCAATTACACAATCTGTTAGCGTCATAAGTCTGAACTCCCCTCCCCTTAGCGCCAAAAAAAGACATAACCAATGGACATGCCCAAAACGCAGCTGATCAGTAGCGGACAGCTTGTGAGTTGCTGAACACCTCTCTTATGCGTTCAATCTTCAAGGGAAGGCGCATACTGTCACTGCGAGCGCCCCCATCACTCTCCTTGGGCTTTTAGAACCCCATTTTCGAAGTCCTCTACAGTCAATGAAATCCTGGTTATTACTTGTCTCAACAACATCTCGAAAGTTGCATGACAATATTAGGTAATGGTGTTGAGTCATCCTGGCATCGACGTAAGGGTTGATGCTGAGAGGGTGGGAGGCGGGGGCTAAGGCTTGTTGCAGGAAAAGAGAAACATGTCATGAAAAGGGCACCCCCTCCTAGGCAAGTATATGTCAAGCTCTTTTCCATGCTATGAAAATATGATGGGGGAGGGGGGGCTCTTTTCAGCGTCAGTTTGATGCTAAGCGTACTAAAATCGACACAGCGTCTTTGCTAACGATTGTACATATTAGGGAGTTGTCGCTTTGATGATCCTTAGCTGTTTGATCTCCTTGGGCTTGCGCCACGTCTTATTTGGCTGCATTGAGAGAGATTGTTGTCAACTATCGTGTTCGGTACGGAATCTCGGAAGCGGCGGATGTCTGAGAAGACTCCATGTCGAAACACCTATGATACATCACATATTCCATTCTGGGTGGGTGCCACGCATGCCGGGAACAAATTTCGAGGCCCTAAGCGACCATGCCAAACACTGTTGATTTACATACGAATGATGCATATGCACCGATCTGGCCGCTGCCGCGAATACCGGTGGACAGTCCGCTCTGATAAATCCGAAGTACGCAGACACCCTATGTCAATTTAAACAACCATGAAAGGATCTTCTGGCCTTTGACATGGCATTGCTCCCTAGGGCCTCTGGAAAGCCGCCAGAACACCAGCAACGCAAGTAGCGTAGCACAAAAGGATGCGCAGCACATCAACAGTGGGGATTGAGCTTGTACGACGCATGAGATTCCTGCAGTTGGGAATTCCGACATCGAGCGCGCGACAATATGGAAAATGGGTATTTTTCCCATGGAGACGACCTCTAGGGGATCAGCGTTCGGCACCGGCTCGCTTGCGGCAAAAGCGGGCGCATTACTGCCCACTTTTCTGGGATGTGCTGAATTGGGCCCATTAAAGGGATCTGTGGAAACCGGCCAATCTCAACCTCCTCTGTCACTTGGTGCCTCTTCCTCCCCCCACCCTTCTCAGGCCTATTATTTGCGTCTACTCTCTTATGTGTAAAAACGTGAAAATTTGCAAAAGGGGCCATTGTACGACTGTATTCACGTTTTTGCTGCTCGCTGTGCCACCCAGGTTACACGATGGAAGTCGCTTACAATGATCAGCCCTCCGCTCACTCGAGAACCCACAAAAAAGCGCTTACCCCACCCTCTGCAATGGCAACAACGGTTGGAGCAGAAGTTCGTTTTTTGTCCATTCCAGCGAGCCTGCCTGCCACTCCCCGGACTCCACAGGTCCGTATATATTGTCCTTATGTTGATGGGCCCTTACTTACGCTGTATTTACCTACTTTTGAGAGATTCTACGTGCAAAAGCGTAAAAACTAATTTTCGCGCGTAGAAACGTAAATACGGTCTGTTTACGGCGTAAATAACGAGCTTGCTCCTTCCCTTCTTTTTTGTTGTGTGCTCCATCTATTTTGTTCCATTGGTTGTATTCATCATTTCGTCCTTCTCATCAATCTTTCTTTCGTGGGGTGCAATTCTCCATGCTTGATTTTTGAACCTCCAGGATTTGAGTATTTGGTTGCAAACAAAAGATGAATCCCGCCGTACGGTTTTGCGAAATCATAGGTGGTACTCGGCCGTTCTCTCTGTATGCCGTGCAGACGCCCGTGCGCCAATCCGCCCCCTAGAAAACGTAAGCAACCCAAGCTGGCGAAAAAAATGGTGTGCTTGTGAAAAGGCTGAATGTCGGCCCTGAAGCGTACATCTTTGGGCTTATTTGCACCGTTTCTTTTTATCTTGAAGTGGTCGTTGGCACCTCCGATAGCGGTCGCTGAATACACGAGGGCATGAATTTTGCGAATCTCGGGTGCAATTTTTTCTTGATGAGAAAGTCTGTACGCCGTAAGTGCTCACTGCACGTGTCTTTCTCTGCAAAGCCTCAAGCCAAGTAGCTAGCCGACTCTGGGCGTCGTTGGGCTCCCCCACGCGGACGCTAGGCCCACTAGGACAAAAAGGGTTAAATAACATGTGTACTAACGTGTACAATGTTTACGGGTTTGGGCTATTTTTTGTGCTCTTAGCATGCAGAACACTGACAAACGCATTTCATATGTGTTCACAAAAAGTTCTATTTGGTCCTTTTCCTGCTGGTGGCCGTGGGGGAGCCACGGAGGCTGTGGGCGACGTCGCTTGGCGGTTCACGGCGTCCTAAAGCGTTTTGAGGCGTTTTGAGGGTTTCTGTCGGGATGGCGGGAAGTTCTGGTGGGTCCCCTTGGCTAAACGAGCTACGCACGCAGACGCGGTCCGGCCGGGCCGTTTGGAATGTGGTGGGGACGCTGAGGGAGGCTGCGGTGGAGCAGTGGTGGTGTCTCGCGACGAGCTGGGGGCTCTCACCCTGGACCAGGTCAGGCTGCTGGCGTTTCGGTGAGACGCTGGATGAGCAGACGTCGCGGGAGAAGCTGCTCGAGGTGGCGGTGTCTGGTCTCACGGTTGGCGATGGTGTGCTGCTAGCCGGTTAGTGGAATTTGGTGAAGAACTTTCTGGGCCGGGCTTCCAACTCCCGGCTTTTCAACCTCGCTGCTCAGTTGGCGGCAGACCTGAATACAAGTCCGGACCTTGGAGCCCTGTGCTGCTGGGAGATGTCGGGCACAACGACTGTGACGTCTTGGGTGACGATGGTGCTGGGCACGGCGTCCAGGGGGCGTCGGAGCCGGGGCAACATGAAAACGGCGCCTCTGGCGCACACGCAGAAGTTGATGCAATTCAAGCTCGAGGGTCTGGGCGCCCTCCGTGAGGAAGTTGTAGGAGAGGCACCAGCGACTGCAGCCCCCACACTGTCGCTTGCCGCAGTTGCCAAGCCATATCCTGCCTCGTTTTCCACCACATTGGAACGCCCACAGCAACCGGGCACTGGCACCCATACTCGATGATCCCTAGGATGAGGCGCCGTGCCTCCACCACCGTAGCTGTGCAACTCCTCCCGCCAACCAATGCAAGAATGGCCGCCTGTGAGTCTGTGACAAAACGAGCTTCCGCCGCCAATCTCCACCTCCTGATCAGGATGCCGCCCAGCTCAACGCCCAGACGGATGACCTCCAGCTCCAACCCGCTGCTAGAGTGCAAGCTTGGAGATCCACGGGAAACGCCAAAAAGGGCATCCTGATTTCCAAAAGTCCACGAGGCTGCTGCCCCAGCGCCGCAATCCTTTACTTGGCTATCGAAGAACGCCCAAAACACCTCGACCCCGGCCACGCCACGCCCGTAATGCAACAAATCGGCTGCAGCCTCCCGTGTGGGCGGCATGGCAACATCCACGGGCAACCTCTGCACCCACGGCTCGAATGGGTATAACAAATGCTGCTAAGAGGCGGAGGCTGTGAGCGTGACCCACTGCGCCCAAGCCATCAAGGGGCGCATGACCACATACTGCAGCGCGCCGGAAAATCACAATTGGTAGAGGACAAATGTATGGCGCAACGACCTGGTTGTGAATTGGATTTTCACCCCTTCTCTGGATTGGGCGAGGCCCTTCTTACACGCAGATATCGCATTTCTGTGTCAATTCTTGGCCAATGCATTTTCATGCCGCTATTTTATCT